TTTTTGTCTCTCAGAAATAAACATTAAAAAAAATTTTTTTAACTGTAGGCATAATAAAAGGAAATATTGGGAAATGTATTTAAAATTGGGTGCTAGAATAGCTCTTTTTAAAACAAAATGCAAAACACAAAGGTTTTAACAGAAAAACCTAACAAATCGGGGCACCTGGCTATCTCAGTCGGAGGAACATGTGACTCTTGATTTCAGGGATATGGGTTTGAGCCCCACGTAAGGTGTAGAGATTACTTTAAAGACAAAAATCTGGGGCGTCTGGGTGGCTCAGTCGGTTGAGCGTCCGACTTCGGCTCAGGTCATGATCTCCCAGTTGACGAGTTCGAGCCCCGCATCGGGCTCTGTGCTGACAGCTCGGAGCCTGGAGCCTGCTTGGGATTCTGTGTCTCTTTCTCCCTCTGCCCCTCCCCCGCTCATGCTCTGTCTCTCTCTGTCTCAAAAATAAATAAACGTTAAAAAAAATTTTTTTTAAACAAAAATCTTAGGCGCATCGGAGGGGCTTAGTCAGTTAAGCACTGACTCTTGACCTCAGGGTTGTGAGTTCAATCCCTATGTTGAACTTCAGGCTGGGTGTGGAGCCTACGTTAAAAAAAAAAAAAAAAGAAACCTAACAAATTTAACCACAAAATATGAAAGTTATGTAAGATGAGTGATAAAATTGAAATATACTATAAATTGGGAGAAAGCGTTTGCAACATAAAATAGAAAATGACGTGCAGGGGTGACAAGAACAGTACCTATGAATGGATTGGAAAAAGATAAAAATGTAACAGAAAAATGAACAAAGGGTACAATTGACGTAAGAGAGATGTGAATGACTAATAAACATATGGATCAGGAAAATGCAAATTTAGATAAGAAACTAGTTTTCCATAGATTGGATCAGCCTTAAGAAACACAAGTTGAAGTTAAATACCCATTTTTTTGCCCATCAGGGTGGCCCAAATGTCAAAGATTGACAAAGCTAGTTATTGATGAGGGTGAGGGAGAGAGGCACTTGCGTGCATAATGGTTGGAAATGAGAAATTGGTCCATCTGTTTTGGTCCATCTGTTTGGTACGGTGCTGCCCTGAGTTTTAAACGCACGCAGCACTCGGTTCTGTGTCGCATCTTCTAGACGCCCTCAGTGTTGTCTCTACTCACTGGGTATTCGAGCCCTGGCTCCTTTACAACATGGCGCCAGGCTTCCAAGGAGGTGAAAGCAGAAACTGCCAGGCTTCTCCTTGAAGGGCCAGCCCCAGCCCTGCACAGCAGCCGTTCTACCACGTTCTACCAGCCTAAACTAGTCCTAGGCCAGCCCAGACTCCTGGAGGGGGCGCCCCAATGGGAAGAGTGGCTCAAGGGCCTGGGGATAGGTGGGGTCATTGGCTGCTATATTCTCAGATTCACCATCACAAAGGTAGTTAGAATAAAGCAGATTCCTCCTTGTACACTTCAGCATCTCTTAAGTGCTTGCTTATGTGTTTATGTGACTTTCAAAATAGTCTGTTGTTTTGGTCCACATTTCCTGCTTGACCGAAACCACATAACTAGTTATACCCATTCCAGGTTTTTGGTTTTTTGTGGGTTGTTTTTTTTTTTTCATTTTTTCATGTGATCTGTGGATGACTTCTATAAACAGAGGAAAACACACAGCAAAACTTAGCTGTCTAAACGTCCGATTTTGTAAACTCCGGGGTTGTGTTATTGTGAAGTTAATTAAAAACAGTGTTTTATCAGTAGATGCTATGGTGGTGGAATTAAAGATTGTGAAACGTCTACTGTGCACAACTGACCTTACGCTGAAGTGAGAAAGTCCCGAGTGATCCCGAGGCGGTCACTTATTCTCACGCACACGCGTGCACATACGCACGTATACACACATGCACACCTTCAGGATTTTCTCCCAGCCTGGTCTGAGAATGCTGCCAGATGGCCTGGGAAGGGGACAGTCACCAAGCACCACCCCTGCTGCAGTCCAACCGCCATAATTATGGTGCATATCATTTTTTAAGTACATCTGTTTCTTCTCAGATTCACTAAGTGGGTCTGTACTCTATTCATTCAGCAGCCCTTCCAAATGCTTAGTGTATGAAGCACCCTGGGGATGGGCACAACGATTTCTAAGCCTGGCTCCCGCAGGTGGTGGGGAGGAATGTGCCAGTAAAGAGCCCTGGCATCAGTCGAGCCTCCTGGACGCCAGGACAGAGCTCTGCTCAGGGTGCTTCGCCAGGAGGCACAGAGAAGGGCAGCTCCCCCAGCGACCTGATTGGAAGTGAGTCTTGAAAAACAAACAGTAGGGGCGCCTGGGTGGCTCAGTCGGTTGAGCATCCGACTTCAGCTCAGGTCATGATCTCACAGTCTGTAAGTTCGAGCCCCGTGTCAGGCTCTGTGCTGACAGCTCAGAACCTGGAGCCTGCTTTGGATGCTGTGTCTTCCTCTCTCTCTGCCCCTCCCCTGCTCATGCTCTGTCTCTCTGTCTCAAAAATAAATAAAAACATTAAAAGAAAATTAAAAAAGAAAAGAAAAACAAATTGTAGCTGGTGAGGAAAGCAACGGGTGTGCAAGGAGAAAAGGAGTGTATTCCAGGCAGAAGAAACAGCTTGGCATTTGGGATGAAAATAGCTCAGCACAAGCTCTGCCTCTTTGGAGTGGAGCCGGGCCCGTGGCTCGGGTTTATCGGAACTTACACTGAAAGGCGTAAGCAGGCAGGCACGGCGGGCCTCCTAGGCCAAGTTAGGACCCACGCAGTAGACGGGGCTGGCCAGGTTTACATATTTTGTTTTCCCTCCTCCGCTGGCAGGTGGATGCTAGAGTAAGTGGGGGCGAGAGTAGAGGCTAGAGGCCACCTCAGAGAGGTAACGTGACCCTGAATCAGGAGCACGGCATCAGGATGACCGCCAGTGTCATCATTATGTGGGCCATCTGTGAACAGCCAAGAGAAAATTTTATCTTATTCTTTTTGTCATGTGCTGGGATTATACTATATTCTAAACCAGATCAGAAGATAGGTATGTGAAATGTAACCCATTCTTCTGACCCGTTAACCTCGCACAATTCTATTTTAAATTTGTATTATAAACTAAGTTTTCTTTGAACTTTCCTCTGGGAGCGACCAGGAATTTGGTTTCTTGGATCACTCCTCTCCCCCCCATGTATAACTTATTGTTCAAGTAGGTCGTCTTGAAACCCTTTATAAATTGCGTATCTAAATCTCGTGTCATGCTGAGTTGTCCAGTTGACGTTATTTTTATAAGCTTGCTTTTCGTTGCTGTCATAATCCACTCATCTCTTATAAATGCTTCTGTCTGCTTTGCAAATGCCGTAGCCTCTGCACTAAGATTTGCACCTGTGGTGTCATGCTGGCAAATGGCTTCATGTCCTTAGGTCTTAAAATACTCTTTCCTCCCCACCCTCCCAGAGGAAGCACGTGTGGGAACTGGCTTGCGTAGGGTGATAGCGTCACTTCTCTTAAATTTCTGACTTAATGAATTACAAAACAGAAAAAGCAAATCTGGTTTAATTTAAGGAGGGCCTTTAGGATCACCTGGTGTGATAGAAAAGCTAGGCATGAATTGGGAAATAGTTTCAGGCAAACCCTTAGTAAAATGCTCACCACTGTGAGATCAGACAGAGATGAAGAATGGACGTTATTACCGTGTTTTATGTTCTGTGACTCTATATAGAACACAAATCCTGGCCAAGCACCATGCCTGGGCTCAAAGCCGTGAAGGAGAAACCAGGGGCAGCTTCGGTAAACGGAACCATCCTTACGCTGTGGTTGTGAATCATTTCTTAGTTGTAACCGGAAGCACCTTGCTTTCCTGGTAATTAACTAGCATGTGATTTTTGCACTTACTCCCAGGGACCAGAGTCACTGCGTGTTTTCACGAAGGACAGTTGTTAGGGTGGCGTCATGACTTAGGCTGATAAGCCTTCATCCTTCATTTAACCCAGTACTTACACTGCTCTGCCCTTCCAGCACATTCTCCAGGGCACACAGTGCCCCCGACAACGCGCGCACGAGACACCTATAGGCTCTTAGGAAAGCTTGCAGCCCTTCCCAGTGTAACAGAGAGCAGCAGTTTGGCTGGTGGGGTGACCACCGTAGCTGTGGCCTGTCTTATTAGGGGAAGGCAAAGAAGTGAACATTAGTGAGTGTAGGCAGTGTGCATTCGTGTGCATTAGTCCCTGGGCCCGTTTGAGAATGAGGCTAACCCTGTCAAGTAGCATGTGTTCAAAATGTATTACTTATTTTCTTTTTAACGTGCATTAGAGAAATAACCCATATTGAATTACTTAACACTGTAAATTTGAAATCCTGTCTACGTAAGCATGTCCTGGTGATTCCTAGAGCTAATCTGATGCAGGATGTATTAATAAATGGGCAAAAGAGGTAAATCATGGCAAGGATATAAGGTAAAGAAAGTCTTAGGGGGGGTGCCTGGGTGCCTCGGTTGAGTGTCTGACTTCAGCTCAGGTCATGATCTCACAGTCCATAAGTCTGTGCCGATGCTCAGAGCCTGGAGCCTGCTTCGGATTTTGTGTCTCCCTCTCTCTCTGCCCCTCTGTTCGCACTCTGTCTCTCTCTCTAAAAATAAAAACATTTTTAAAATTTTTTTAAAAGAAAGAAAAAGGAAAATCTTGGGGCACCTGGGTGGCTCAGTCAGTTAAGCGGCCGACTTTGGCACAGGTCATGATCTCACAGTTCATGGGTTCGAGCCCCACGTTGGGCTCTGTGCTGACAGCTCGGAGCCTGCAGTCTGCTTCAGATTCTGTGTCTCCCTCTCTCTCTGTTCCTCCCCCGCTCATGCTCTGTCTCTCTCCGTCTCAAAAACAAATAAAACATAAAAAAAAAAAAAACTTTTAAAGAAGGTCTCATGTATCCTTAGTATAGAGAATTTGTCTGGAAAAAAACTTAAATAGGTTGAAAGACCTGCTCAAAAATTTCTCCACGCATTGTTCAAGGAATGTGGGGATAATTGACCTCTCCTCTCCTTCTTTCTTAGATACATCCCACCGTTGATCTGGGGGAAAAGTGGACACATCCAAACAGCCTTGTATGGGAAGATGGGAAGGGTGAGGTCGCCACACCCGTATGGGCACCGGAAGTTCATCACCATGTCCGACGGAGCCACTTCGACCTTCGACCTCTTTGAGCCCTTGGCTGAGCACTGTGTTGGAGGTGAGCTAGCGTGGGTCTGTGATTGGGCCATCACACTGGCCAGTGAGGGAGCGCGGTGGAGATCCTCAGGCCAGCAAGTCACCGTCACACCTGGGGGCTGCTAGGAAGTCCCCTGAGGTCCATCACTTCGGAGCGACCGCAGGGATTAGCTCTGTCTCATGCTTGCAACTCACCGCGCAGGGCCCGTCAGAGAACATTGTTGAGTAGTTTGTGAATCCGCTTGCGAAATACGGAAGCTGGGTGTAAGGGGTCGAGGGAGAACTTGGAGCCCAGGCCCCCCAGGACCACGCCTCTGGTCTGATGACAGCAATAAAAGCTAGACTCTTCTAAGTGCTTTAAATATCCGGGAATCTCGCTTAACCCTGGCAACAAGGTTGGTACCTTGTTATCCTTACTTTATGGATGAGGAAACTGAGGCTCAGAGATGCAGTACAGGCTGGTCTCATTTGTTGGCTACTCGCACACAGTACAGGCTCTCAGGTGCCCTCTGCTTAGCTTTCCATGGACAAAAAGCCACATTGAGGTCCATTTGTGCGAGGGTGTGGGATACCCGTCTGTCAGAAGCCGCTCCGACTGCCACTGCTGCTAGAATTTGGCATCGCTCGGTCCAGCCCCCGAGTAGGGACCCATCGGAAAGGGTCCACGGTGAGGACTCATGTTAGCATGGTGGCTTCCTTTGACGGCTGCTCCTCCCGGAAGAGAGTTCTTTTGAGTTCTGAAGTACGCAAGGCACCTAGTGTTTTCTAGGAGCTCGGTGACTATTTGTGAGTAAATTGCAGTAAACGTGTTAAAGCGCTCAGTTATTCGTAGTAACCGGAACCGCTGACTAGACAGCGACGAAGCTTTAGTTTACGTTCCCTTCGTCTGGAATACTAGTCCCCAGACCTCCCTCCCCGTGGCCGCCTCCTTCTTGTCATTCAGGTCTCACCTCAGATGTCCCCTCCCCAGGGGGACGGCCCCCACCTCCCCTCGCTGGTGTTTCCTTCCCGTGTAAATCCACACCTTCCTGCCTTAGTTCTCCGCGGCACCTGCCACTCTGTGACCTTATGGGGTCCGAGCCCCGAGCGGCAGCCTCCCACTCAGCAGTCCCAGAAGGAGTGAATAAATGAATGGGTTAGGAGTCCCCATTGTGTTTACACATCTCGTAGCTCATCGTTCAAATATCTGTTTCTCCGCCTTACCATCAGATGCTTTTTTCTCTTGCTTCTAATGCTCTCGCTCCTACCAGTAAAGCACAAAATTTGATTTCACCACTCTGTTCTTCCTCCCAGGACCAACACGGAAAATTGAAAAGGGGCAACCTTTGATGTTTTGTTTACTCCTTCCTGTGTATCACCCCCCGTCCCCAGAAGGGGACGGATGAAGGTGGTTCCGTACGCGTGTCCAAGAGATGCTCTAGGAAATAGCAGCTCTTTTTTTTTTTTTTTCTTTTCCATGATTTTTTTTTTCCTGGCTACAAAAGGGATAAAAACTCATTTTGGAAAATTTAGATAACATAGGAATATTTTAAAAAGAAAATAAGCACCACCTAGAATCCCACCGCCCAGAGTTCTGTTGTTGGCATTGTGTTTCCTTCCAGTTCAAATGCATTGTTTTTCCAAAGTCTGAACGATTATCCATTATGTTATATGTTTCTCCTGTCATTCAAAGCCTAAAAGTCTTCAAAACCATGATCTGAACGATTAATATTCTACAATATGGTCATGCCACCGTTTAATGATTCATCCACTGTGGAGTTCACAGTTTTCCTACTGTACGTAATTCTATGGTGAGCACCCTTAACCATAAAATTTGAGGCAAGAGTCCGAGAGCTGGAGCTGCTAGGTCATGTCTGTAAAGTTCTGCACGTTCAAGAAGATTTTAAAAGTTGTTTTTATCTTAACTTTTGGAAGGGACATTTATGATCAGACTTGATACCCTAGATACCACTTTCCTTTTAAAGGAAATCTATGCAAAAATTTTCTTAAAAATGAAGGAAGCCTGTGTATTCATGTTTTCAAGTGGGTAATTCATGCTTATGATAGAAGATCCAAAAGGTACCTATAAGATAAGTATAAGTCTCTCTTCCACCCATGTACCCCCCGCCCCAGGGCCCTCCGCAGTGGTACCCACTGTTAGGTTTCTTACGTATGACTCCAGAGCTAGTGGATACATTTATAAACATAGATGTCTTTGTTTCCTCCACACAAACGGCAGCGTTATCATCACCGTTTTCTGCACCTTGCTTTTTTTCCACTTAATATGCGTTGGGGAGCTTGCCCTATCAGTATATGTAAAGATGTGTCTCATCATTTTTAAGGGCTACATAACATTTCATCACTTGGATATGCAACAATTTATTCAACCAGACCCCTGTTTCTGGGCATTTAGGTTGTGTTCAATCTTTTGCCATTATCCCCGATACGGTATGGATCTTGTTTTCCCAACGTACAGGTGTATCTGTAGGATAAACACCTGGAAGTAAAATTCCTTGGTCAGAGAAGTCTGTGCGGATACTGCTTCTTACTTTTCTATTCATTCATTCCACCATTCATGCAGGCTTTCAGACAGAAATTGAGAGTGAGATTTGGGAACTTGTACAGCAATGTGGCAGACAAACTTTTTATCTGTCGAATCTAATAATAAGAAATGGAGATTTAAATTTTTTTTCATTTTGTCTTTCCGGTGAGTGATTTGTATCCTCGTTTTCAAAAGTATCTGTCCACGGTCGGAAACTTTAAAAACTGACCCTTCGGCATAAATAGTGTGAGAAGCACTGGTGTAGACAACTCCAGCTCGAAGGGAAGGCTACTCTTCCCAGAGAAGTGCGTGAAATTCAACGCGAAGCTCCCTCCTGCTGTTTTCTCAGCCAGGGATGTGTAGTGGTGGCCATTTATCCTCACCGTTTACTGGATGTGTCGGGCTCTCTTTCTTCACCCTATAGATGACATTACCATGGTCATCTGCCCCGGAATCGCCAATCACAGCGAGAAGCAGTACATCCGCACCTTTGTCGACTACGCGCAGAAAAATGGCTACCGGTGCGCCGTGCTCAACCACCTGGGCGCCTTGCCCAACATTGAGCTGACGTCACCACGCATGTTCACCTACGGTAAGTACGGGCACGGCCAACTGGAGGCCCCCTTACTGCTGTTCGCACTCCGAGTGTGCCGTTACCTGGTTAACTAGCGTTACCTTGCTAAGTGCAGAATTTATGCCCGTCTGCGAGCGGCAGTGGGGCACATGGTGATAAGGCAGCCAGCTTGGACTGGGCATTCACGATGCCACGCTTCACATCAGCCTCTCAGATGGGCACCGTAGCCACCCCCATCTCATCCTGCCTCCTAGAGACAGAGAGCGAAACTCACAGGGGAAGGTTTTGCCCCAGGTCCCCTGCTGGCCAGTGTCAGAGCAGGGCCAGGAGCCGGACGGCCAATGCCCTTGCCCACGGTGCCATCCTCACGCTCGTTCCTCAGGACGCTGGTGACTGGCGTGCCAGGGCTGCGGTAAGGCACACGCACGACCGTGAGAAGGGAATCTGGCACACCGACAACTCATGGGATCCCAAGGTCCTTGAAGACAGGAACTGGTTCTCACACTCAGACAAATGCTTCTGGCCTTTGGTTGAAGTCTTGCATTAGCCAAGGTTCTGTCTTCCGGACTGCCCCGGTTCTTGATTCTTATTTGAGTCTCCCTTCATGTTGTAGATGTACACATAAATAATAAACATAGAGTATAGGGGTTCCCGGATGGCTCCGTCAGTTAAACGTCCCACTCTTGGTTTCAGCTCAGGTCGTGATCTCATGGTTTCATGAGT